TGGATGGATGGATGGATGGATGGATGGGTGGGTGGATAGATGGGTGGATGGATGGGTGGATGGATGGATGGATAGGTGGATGGATGGGCGGATGGATGGATGGATAGGTGGATGGATGGGCAGATGGATGGATGGGTGGATGGATGGGTGGATGGATGGGTGGATGGATGGGTGGATGGGTGGATGGATGGATGGATGGGTGGGTGGATGGATGGATGGATGGATGGGTGGATGGATGGATGGATAGGTGGATGGATGGGTGGATGGATGGGCGGATGGATGGATGGTTGGTGGATGGATGGATGGATGGATGGGCAGATGGATGGATAAACTGGTGGATGGATTGGTTGGTTGGGTAGATGGGTGGATAGATAGGTGGATGGATGGATGACTGACTTTCTATTTAGCTGAATTCATGGCTGACATTTAAGTCTCTGACCCTAGAAGATGTTGGTGTGTTCTATCTGCTGGAGCCATCTTGGTCTGACCTATATCTGTGTGATCTCAAGTCTGCAGGTGTCCATGAGCATAAGGGGCTTCTTCTCCCCATTTCTCCACCCACCGTACCCTTCCGTCTGTCACCTCCTCTTCCCTTCCTTCCCAGGCTGTGCCTTCGTGAAGTTTTCTTCCCACACAGAGGCCCAGGCTGCCATCCATGCCCTGCACGGCAGCCAAACGATGCCGGTGAGTGAGACTGAGCACAGCTGCAGTGGGGCCGGGGCAGGTTGAGGGTGAGTGGGATGGATGGTGTGGGCATCTTCCCTTCATAGACTGCTACAGACAGCAGGCCAGCTTGTGATCAGAGCTGTGTGTGACCACACGCTGTCCTGCGGCAAGTGCAGCTCTTAGCTTGTGCAGTAATGAAGGCTGATGCGTAGAGACCACAGACCCTATTCTAGGGCAGCTGGGAGCCACAGTGGCCACACAGAGTGGGAGGGGCTTCCAGGGATTTGCATGCATCCTTTAGGTCAGGGCCACCAGTGGGCAAGGGACAGAAGGACGCCAAGAACCTGAGCTCAGGTCCTACCTGAAGGATGGGGGCTCATCTGCACAGACTACAGAGATAACTCGGGCTCCGGTGACCCATTTAGCCGAGAGAGGGTAGAGAACAGGTATCCAAAGTCCTGGGTATAGCATCACACAGGTATGGCTGTTGTCTTCACCCAGGGAGGCCCCTCAGAAGTCCTCATTACTGCGGGTAAACTGAGTCCCTAGCCTGAGAGCAGCAGTTGTCTCCCTAACATGGCGGAGCTGGTCAGGTCACGCCCAGGGCAAGCTTCCTCATGACTAGATCCTAGGCCCTAACTCCTCACTGAGTGCTAACTACACGCCGCTTCCTGATCCTCCTCTGAGCCCCAGCTCCTGACTGAGTCCCTGAGCACGAGCAATTGGCCCACTGTCAGGTGTCATGTCCTACCCATTTGCTGGCTGCACACCATCCTTACAGGGAATGTCCACTGGTCCCGGGGGTGGGTTGCGTGGTGCCCGCCCCACCGTCCTTCTCTTTCCTCTGGATTCTCTCCCTGCCTCAAGGGTTTAGCTACGAGGCTCCCCTCCCCCAAGACTCCTCTCCCCCCATCTTTGTCCCAGACATGACCCTTGAACCTACTCCAGTCATCACTATGGCTGTGGCTACCTCCCAGACACGGTGGCCATGTCACCACATGGCCAGTCCCAGGATGACAAGCCCTGTCACTTCTTGTGTAGTCCTGGCTCTTCTGGATGTGAACTCCGATGGGCACCTCTCAGCCATGGGGAGCACTGGCTGGCTACCCTGTCTTCCTACCGCAATGCCATACACCGTCCTTACAGGGAGCGTCCTCCAGCTTGGTGGTCAAGTTCGCCGACACGGATAAAGAACGGACGCTGCGGCGGATGCAGCAGATGGTTGGCCAGCTGGGCATCCTAACGCCATCCCTCACCTTGCCCTTCAGCCCCTACAGTGCCTACGCCCAGGCTGTGAGTGGCCCCAGCACACGGGCACCGAATGCAGCCTGACCGCAGTCCCAGGCTGAAAGCCCTGTTCCCGATGGACAGCTCTAACCAGAGCAAGCCTTCCTGCTGAGCCAGTCTGACAATGGCCACAGCGCTAATGTCCCAAGTGGCTGCAGCCTAGATCCCACCATTCTGAAATCTGCATTCAGCCCAGCTCTGGCTCCAACCTCAAGGCTGACATCACCCAGCTCCTGACCCAGTCTTGACCAGTTACTAACCCTAAGCTTAGCCCCGATTTCTGACAGTGTTCCTTTCCTAGGCAGGCCAGACCCCAGTGTACACATAAATACTGAACCCTATTTCTAACCCTAGTGCTGAGTCAAAGCTGGGCTTTGAGCCTGTGCTGCACCAGACCCCATACCCTACACTGACCTCAGCCTAATGTCTGATTGATCCCTGATCCCAATATCAACCTTAATCTAAGTCTGAGCCTGTTTCTACTGGAGCCCTAAGTCTAGACTGAGCCTTTTATCAGAAACCAGTTGTCAATGCTACTGGACCCTAATCCTAAACCAGATGCTGATCTGCAACTGAGCCCCAGTTCTTGACTGAACTGGAGTCTCCCAAGGTCCTCCCCGCCCCAGTCCTGACCCGTGATGGTATTGGTTCCACTTACACCCTCTCTGTCCCCAGCTCATGCAGCAACAGACGACAGTGTTGTCCACCTCTGGCAGCTACCTGAGCCCCGGTGTGGCTTTCCCTCCCTGCCACATCCAGCAGATTGGTGCCGTCAGCCTTAACGGTCTGCCCGCCACACCCATCGCTCCTGCCTCTGGTGAGGGCAGCTTCTGGGAGGTTTCAGGACAAGTGGGGAATCTGCCATGTTTGGATTCCTGTGTCTGACCCTCTCTCCCTCCCCAGGGCTACACTCACCCCCACTGCTAGGCACTGCTGCTGTTCCTGGCCTGATGGCACCCATTCCCAATGGCTTCCCAGGTGTCCTGCCCCTTCCCGGGAGCCACCCTGCCCTGGAGACCGTGTATGCCAATGGCCTTGTACCCTACCCAGGTAAATTGGGAGAGTGCTTCAGAGCCACGGACAGTGTCTGGAGTGGGTCTGGTAACTGAGGGACGTGCCTAGGTCACCACAGCCTTACACCCTTGCATGGCAGGGTGGAAAATGGGGCAGGTGACATTAAGGGGTGGCTGGCTGCATGGTGTTAAGCACACGTCTCACCTTGTTTGAGAGATGGAGGGCATATTATGTAGTTTCCATCTGCCTTCCATTTCCTGTGTGCGTAGGCTGCGCTTAGACTTCCCTCTGTAGCCCAGGCTGGCCTTACACCAAGGGCAGTCCTCTAGCCTCTGCTTCCCAATGCTAAGATAACAGCCGTGAGCTCTGGCCGTTGTGGAAGGGAAACAGGGTGGACCTGAGCTGCCGGCCTTCGATGCTAATGGTCCAAACCAGGAACTGGGTAGACCGTAAAACGCCCAGGGGTCCCCACAGGCTGGATGAGGGAGTGTTTGTGGGGATGGGGTGTGGCAGGTGACTCAGATGCGGGGTTTTCCTGGGGGCTGAGGGGTGATGGTCACACCGCTTCACTTAGCCCCCGCTGGTTGCTATGGGTGTGTGTATCCCTGGGTGAGCTGACCCACATCAGAGATGCAGTTGCCTTGCCTTGCCTGTGGGGGTAACACAGAAGGGAAGTTGGGTGGCTGTGGGTGTCAGCACTCAGTTCATCCTCTTCCCTGCAGCTCAGAGCCCCACCATGGCAGAGACCCTCCATCCTGCCTTCTCCGGAGTCCAGCAGTACACAGGTAGAGGCAGCCCCGTCCTGAGCACTCATGTCAGGGTCTCGTCCATCTGCACATGAGACCCCCTAAGGAGTGCACACAGTCCTAAGGAGTGCACACAGTCCTAAGGAGTGCACACAGTCCTAAGGAGTGCACACAGTCCCTTAAGGCCGAGGCTCCCACATCTCATTCCCAGGACCCTCAGGGGCCTGGCCACCTCCACAGCCAGGGCTGCCTCTGGCTGTCTACCTTCTGTAGCTCCCCACCCCCTAACTTTGTGACCCTAACCCTACCTTTGAGACATGCCCACCCAGTGCCTTGCCCATGAGCCCTTAGACCCACCCCAAAGGCAGAGCCCTGCCTAACTAAGTTCATTCATTAGACATGGTTCCATTTCTGCCCCGTGCCTTTGCGGAGCTCTGCTCCTACACCCTGTCCACGCTGCCTTTCCTGCTACCGCCACACCCCTGTCCCAGCCCTTAGTTCATACCTCTTCCCTCCACTACGCCCCACCTCCCTGACAGTCCTCCACTTTGGCCCCACCTCTTGGCCAAAGTGGTTCTACCCTCCACTGGTCCTGCTCCCTTGAGTTAGGGCTGAGGGCTGGAGGGTGGGACTAGGGCCCAAGGGTGTGGCCAGAGCCAGAGGCAGGGCTGTGGATGAATGCTGAGGCAGGGTCGGGGTTGAGGGGTGAGTCAGGGACTGGTCGGGCACGGGACATGGTTGGAACTGGTCAAGACTAGGGTCTGGGACAAGGTTCAGCCAGAGTGGTTGTCCAGATAGAAGAGGGTGGGGACGGAGCTGAGGAGCAGAGTCAGGGCATAAGGGGCGGAGTTAGGGCCTGAGGAGTAGGCTCAGGTCACAGGAGCAGGGCCAGAGCCATAGCTTATGGGGAGCCAGAGGCATGGTGGAAGGCAGAACATGGAGCACGGGTCAGGGCCTACCCTCCGCCGTGGACCAGCCCCTCGAGCTGCGGCCCCACCCACTCTAGTTTCTACTTCCATCTGACCAAGACGCCTGCCCTGGCCCTGGCCCTTAGACCCAGCTCCTGGCTCAGCCTTGCCTCTCAATACTTAGCTCTGGCCCTCTTGAGCTCTGGGCTCAGTCGTAGTCCAGGCTGTGCCCCTCTCCAGGCCTGGCCCCACCCAGCCCCCTCCTACTTTCCTGCCTCGCCCCTCAGCCCGGGCCTTACCTCTCTGGCCCTGGCCCCACACCACTCTCAGCTCCGACACGGCCCCTCGATCCACCCAAAGCTGGCCCTAGGCCCGGACTCTGCCCCTCGTCTCCATCCTTTAGCCCTTGGTACTGGCTCTACCCGGTCCCTTAGTCCCAGCCTCACTCTCCGACCCGGTCCTGCCACTCGGCGCAAACCCCAGCTGGGCCCCACCCCCTAGGCACCGCCCCTCAGCCGCAGCCCCGCCCCATCCTGCCACAGCCCAGGCTTCGCCCTCTGCCCTGGCCCTGCCACTCAGCGATGCCACAGCCCAGCCCCACCCCCTTTCCCCCGCCCCCGCGGTCCTAGCCCCGCCTCCCCTCGGCCCCAGCCTAGCCCTCTGCTCTGGTCCTACGGCTCAGCGTGGCCTCTGCTCTCTGCAGCCATGTACCCCACCGCGGCCATCGCGCCCGTGGCACACAGCGTTCCGCAGCCTCCACACCTCCTGCAGCAGCAGCGCGAAGGTGAGGCGACCCCCGCCAGCCCCACCCTCACCTGCACTGCTGACCTCGCCCCTCCATGGAACGGCGGCCCTTGAGGTTCCCACCCCCTATGGACAAGCAAGGAAACCCTCTTTTTGGTGCACGTTTGTGCGAGAAGGCATCTTGGGTAAACTGAGGCCTTCCCAGTGAAGCCAAGCCTGTGGAGGGCATGCGGGAGGAAGCAGGAGTCCGGAGTCCTGCAACCCAGGGTCACTCACATCCTCTTCTGACTGGGCACGGTGATCAGAGAGTATTTAATGACCTGCCTCAGTTTCCCCATCTGGAGCTCAGTGTCCTGGCCTCATCTATGTAGACATGGAGTCACTGAGAAGTTCCTGGCATGTGGGCCTTCTCCGCAGGAAGCCCTGCTTTTACCTACCTGTGGAGCAGTAGGGCCTGGGGAGAGGTGGAAGACGGTGCTTCAGGCCACCCTTGTGGAGAGTCTGCCTTCACCCGTGATGGGGCTCACACTCCAGGGTGCAGGGTTCTCAGCGGAGCCCTTGGACATGTGAGGGTAGCTAGTGCCCCTGGATTGTCCCACACTGGGCTGCACTGTGTCGCCTGGACACTTGGTGCCTGAGGCCACCAGCAGGACATGCTTGTCTGACTATTGACAGCTAGGACCTGAAACCTAACCACAGGTCACATCAGTGGACACTTGGAGAAGGCTGGCCATGCAGGCCCCTCCCAGGCCCTCACCCATCACCAAGTAAGATAAATATCATGGTGACAGACCCCTGCACATTGTCCTCTGACCTCCACACATACACGTGGCACACTCGCCCCCTAAAATTACATAGATGGAGAGACAGACAAATCTGTACCTTGCAACTACAGCTTGCTCGCTCGCACTCACTCTCTCTCTCTCTCTCTCTCTCTCTCTCGGCTTTTTTTTTTTTTTTAGACAACTTCTCACTGTGTAGCTTATGCTGGGCTCATAAGCACAGCGACCCTCCTGCCTCACACTCCCGAGTGGTGCCATGATGGGTGTGTGCCGCCATGATGGGTGTGTGCTGCCAGTCTGGCCCCCAGGCTTCTTGTAAACATCAGGTGTTTCTTAGATCAGCACAAGGCCCACGAGCCACTGCTGACCCCCCCCCCATCACTCCACCCCATTCTCCGGACTCCAGTATAGAGCCTGGGGAGGCTGGCAGCAGAGGGGTGGGGCTTCGGGTGTCATCAGGGAGGCTCTGACTTGTGGGGTCCCAGCAGAGATAGCAGAGGTGAAGATGCTGTCTGGGTTTGCTCTGTGGTGAGCTGGTGGCTGGGTAGACTGATCAGGGCTCGCAGGGCCCAACCCTGCTCCCAGCCATTCCCTCTATGTGTCTCGAGGAGCACTCCACTGTATCCACAGCCAGAGACAAGGACTGGACCCCAACCCAGGGGGGGTCCGCCTCCTCTCCTTGGGGGCTTTATGTCTTTCTCTCCCCCACCTACAGGTCCCGAAGGCTGTAACCTGTTTATCTACCACCTCCCCCAGGAGTTTGGAGACACGGAGCTGACCCAGATGTTCCTCCCCTTCGGCAATATCATCTCCTCCAAGGTGTTTATGGATCGGGCTACCAACCAGAGCAAGTGTTTCGGTGAGTGGACATACCTAGAGACCCCCAGTGAAGGGCTAGGGGGCGTGGTCAGGGTGGAGTCCCTCCTAGACTCCCCCAGTGAGGGTCTGGGGGCGTGGTCAGGGTAGAGCGCTTGCCTGGCGTGTATAAGGTTCTGGAATAATCCTTAGTGCCACATCAGTGTTGTAGGAAGAAAGCGAAGCTGTGGCCGCTGCACCGCAAGGGAAGTTGAGCAGATTGGATGGGGTGGGAGTGAGAACCCCACCCCTGGAGCCGGACAAGACCAGCGTTCTCTACAGGAAGCCGGGACCACGCCCCTCACCAGCACCTGTCACTTTGTCCTCTCAGGATTCGTGAGCTTTGACCACCCGGCCAGCGCACAGGCAGCCATCCAGGCCATGAACGGCTTTCAGATTGGTATGAAGAGGCTGAAGGTGCAGCTGAAGAGACCCAAAGACCCAGGACACCCGTACTGACCACGCCCACAGCCTCTCCGCTGTGGGTCTGGCCCCAGGTGAGCCGCCAGGCGGCCCTGTGCTCCGCCCAGCCCTGGTGTCATTCGACCCTCCTCCCATCCCAAGTTCACTCTCCAAATCCTGGGGGCGGGAGTGACACTCCAAGAGGCTGACTGGGGATTCAACCCCTCCCCCATCACCTTGTGGCTTGGGTGGCAGAGAGGGTGGGATTAGGGCGGGGAAACCGGAGAGAAAGCTAGGAGGTTCCACCCAGGGGACTTCCTTCCCAGGGAACGTTTTGAAGGATGAATAGAAGTTCATTCTAGTGCTGGTTTGGGGCTTGTGGTCTGGGGTACAGGATGTGATGGGCAGGGCTTCTGTCCCATCCTGTGAAGCTGTTCCCCCCAGCCAAGAAGCCCTAATCCAGAGAAAGGACGCTGTACAGCACACACCCAGATCTGTGTCCCTACAGTTGAACTTGGAATGGCCAGTTAAGCTTGGCCCAGGACTGAAGCAGAGGAAATGGGGACACGCCATAGTCTTGTGGTCCTCCACCTCTGTCCCCACCAGCTCCCGTGGACCCTGAGAATCCTGTCTTCTAATTTCATGCCCAGTGGGTTAACAAAACCCAGAGTGCCGCTTGCAATCTCACAAAACAAACAACACAAAACCAAATACCCAAACAAACAAGCAAAAAACCCCAAAAGTCAGCTTCCCCTTCAACATTCTCTGCACTTTCTTTGGGACTGAACTGATTTTAAAAAGTGGAACAAACTGAACAATGACGTCATGGAGGTGACAGCTCAGCTCCCCAGCAGCAGCATCCTTCAGAGCACCCAGGAATACTTTTTCTTTTTGTTTTTCCCTTTTACCACCCAGTCCAGGGCCTGGTAGAGATCGACAGTCTTTAATCCTTCAGTGTTTTTTGTCCATTATCTGGGTCTTTTGGGCTTTATCTATTTTGGCTTCGATTAGGAAACCCATCAATCAGGTAGAAACCCCCGGACGGCCGCCATATTTTCACTTTTAACCCAGTGTTCTGCTCACCATCTGCTCTGGGCTGGGCAGGAAGGCTCCGTGTCAGGAGCAAATGCCCCCGTACTGATGGTGACTGTCAGGAACTGTTATTTTGAAAATGCTGGGGTTTTCTTGCCAGGACAAAGTGGGGCAGGGTGTTCTGTGCCCTACTCCCCTCACCTCCACTGCTCCCCAATATTCCCCCACCCTCCCCAGGTGGAGCGGTTCCCCACTTCCAACCACTCCAGGACTTTTATGTAAATTACAGCCAAGTTTGGACACCAGCTCTCCCAGTGACCCCCTTCCTCCACCTGTCCCCCACTCACGGCCTCCCAAATTCCGAAGCCACCGAAAGCCACTTGAGGTACAGAAGGCTAGGTGGTGTGTCGTGGGGCGGGGAACAGGAGTCTGAGCCCAGGTCTGAGGGGCCCATACACTGCCAATCACCACCCGCCCCTCGACTTGGGGACACCCCCATCTGACTCGGCTTTCCAGGTCAGCCAGTATCCCCCTTTGCCAGGATCCCCCCCCCAAACACTTCCAATTCCCTGTAGCTGCGCATAGACATGCGCGTATCATAGACTATATATTTTTGGAGAATGAACCACAGCGGCCAAACTCCGTCTGAGGAGGTGGCTCTGAGCCGGCCAATCATCGGGGACCAAGGACAGACCAGCTGAGGCCGGCTGGACGCCGCCCCCACTGGACGCCAAACCAGGACCCCGCCAACACCATATACCTCCAGTTTCCGGGGTCTCCACGGCTGCCGCCCCTGCCCTGCCCCTCCCGCTCTCATAGCCTTACTTGGGTGACCAGGTGTCCTTAGCTTCCTGCCCAGGAAGCCTCCTGTTCCCCCACTGCCCACCCAGATCGCACCCCCCCTCGTCCTCCAATCACCAGCCGTAAACTGAAGGTCTTGTACCGGAGGTCACCATGAGTCGGACGTGGCCACGCCGGACACGGTTACTGACCCCACAGAC